TTGAATATACAAGTCTAAAAATGTATGGAAACTGTTGTAAAATTAGACAATATTTTATCCCTTACTATTGTTTACAACACAATAAACAAGGTAAAAAGTAAGTTACATGAATTCTATTCAGTATCGCTAGTGTCATCCATCTACTTTAGAATGATAGAAAAGAATTTTAATAAAATGATTTTACATACAAAAAGTAAGCTTTTGACTCAGGGAAAATGTATCTTGATCATCAAATTTCTTTCTATCGAAATGATCACCAAAAAATTACACCTTTGATCATCAAATCAATTAAAGAAAATATATATAAGAAGAATATATAGCAATTAATTAGCAATGATTACCCGTTAACGGGTAGATAGACACGAAAAAGAATATAAAGAAAGTAGATACAAGAAGAAACATGAGCAGAACCGAAGTTTATTTTCAACGGTTGACGTTTTTAGACATCATGATGGTGAGTTTCACCGTTTACTCCGCGTTTGTGTCGCACTGGTCTTAAACAATATAAATGCAAACACTCCGTTGGATTAGTCATCGTATTGAACATATATCAAGTTAGTGACAAAACTCGTTGTGAACCATTAAGTATGAGAAAAGGTAAAGGTCGACCAAAAAGGTTTCGGGCCGCTTTGTTGCTATAAATTTCTGTTTCTTGTTTTCTTTTGTTCAATCGTAAATATTTATTTGCACATATTTGTATCTATAATATTTCTTCATATTCAGTTGTATATTAATAATCTAAAATTTCTCTATATTGTTTTCTTGTCTGTCTACTCATTAACTCCAGATCATTGCTAATTAATTGTTATATGTTTTTCTTATATATATTTTGTAAAATTTAAATTTTCTTTAATTGATTTGGTGATCAAAAGTGTACTTTTTTGGCCATCATTTCGATATAAAGAAAATTGGTGATCAAAACAATCTTTCTTCGTGATAAAAACAATACATACCTGGACACCATCACAGTCACAGAGCACGCTTGGCTCTGACACAGTCAATCAGCATATAAGTCTTCCCTCCTCTTTTTGTGCACATGTTATTCACCTGTAGGTCACACATTTTTTTCTTTATCAGTTTTCTTTTTTTGTAAAGGAGTAATCGGCTTAGTCGTCAACAGCGAAAAACTCGAAATGATAATTATGACAAAAAACAGAACAAACTTACATGTTAACAACGATTTTAATTATATTGGAAATGGAAGCGAAAATTACCCGAATGGCAACGAACAAAGAGTGATTTTTAGATCAAACGATTAGGTGTTTACTACCTTACCAAATGCAAGACCTAGTATCATCAATGGACATTATCCAATATTCGATAGTCATTAGCAACACTACAATAGTGATTTCCTTCGTAATCGATTGAATCAGTTTATGCAACAACAACGTAATGATCATTATAGTCATCAACAATTTTGTTATCAATCCCATGCAGATTATGCAAATCAAGGTCGATCTAACCATTTACAGCAGCCTGCTGATCTATCTATTCGTGTACAAGCAGTTAAAATGTCTACCCCAGCGTTCACTCACTCATGTGGACCGGCAATGGATCATGATTTGAGGAATCATCCGGGCGGTCATCAACATGTAGCAAGTTTTACAACCTTGAATTGAACCTTTCTTATATTTAAAACGTGCAGTTGCAAACAATTTACCATGTTTTATTATACAATATGATTCAAATATTTCACCACGTGATTTACCATTCAGTGTAATTGCTAGTGCTTCAATCCATGAATACTTTATGCAGTGCGGTGTTAGCATTAACCCATTTACAGTTGCTGTATCATCCGGAACACATGAATTGAAATTAGGGGTTAATAATAAAGAAGGTTATTGTTCATTAATTTTCACGGATAAACAGCTAACATCTGTTAATAAAAAAAGAATTACAGTGGTTAAATTCAAATTTGTACCTGATTATTTTACATTAATCATCCGGTATGTACCTACAACGTTCAATGTGACGCAAGTTAAAGAAGAAATGAAACCCTCGATTTAATCTGCTGACCACTTTAAATAAATTATTTATGCCTATGATCGGCCAACAACATTGTAAGCAAATTAATGATAAGTTAAATTATCAACAAGTTAATCTCACATTCACTACTTCTCACATCATAGTTTATAAAATACAAATACCAGATCCTTTATGCGCGGCCTGTGACCATAACATTGTTAAAATTTTCTCTTATGTTAACCCGGAAAATTTCTAACTATAAAGTAAGTCACAGACTGAAATATGTACCACGATACTTTTGTTCTGACAATACTGATACTGACGATTTCGTGTTCAGACCCGAGTCTTCAATTTGAAAAATGCTAATTGTAATTGTTACAAAAACTGTTTTCGATATCAGTATTCGTCAGTATCAGTATTGTCAGTATTCAGTATACTGATACTAATGCATACCTATAATACTGTCCAAGCAGTGTCCAGTTCTACAATCCCGTGAAAATTACTAGAGCTAGCAGAATCCGAAGCATTCAAATATATATTGCTGATAAGATTTTGTTCAGAATCTGACGACTTCCGGTACAATTCCAGTTCTAGTTCTATCACAATCAGGCAGAATTACAGCAGAATTGACCCAGAATCTGCCAGTTCGTACAGAGAATCTATATAGATATATATCTACCCTAATCGATTTCAAAATCTTTAGTCTTTGTTTATGCATCTAAAGTTATTAAATAGAACAGGTACAGGGTTAAGAATTTGAACAAAAGTATCATGGTACATATT